TACAGTGATGTAACCTCATATTCATTAGGATGGTTACTGTTTAAGAAAAAAAACAAGCATAGGCAAGGATGAGAGAAACTGGAGACCTTGCAAAATGGTGCAGTTGCTGTGGAAGAGTGTGGTAGCTCCTCAAAAACTTAAAAATAGAATTACATTATGACCCAGGAGTTCTACTTCTGGGTGTACACCCCCCAAAATTAAAAGCAGGATTTTGATATTTGCACATCCATGCTCTCAGCAGCATTACTCACAACAGCTGAAATGTGGAAGCAACCCAAGGGTCCACCGACAGATGTATGGTCTACACACACAAGGGAATATTATTCAGCCTTAAGAAGGAATTTCCAACATGTGCCACAAACTGGATGAACCTTGGGGAAATTATACTAAGGGAAATAAGCCAAGACAAAAAAGGGAAACTTGTCACAAAAAGATAAATTATTTGTTTCCACTTAACGAGGTACTTAGCCAGACATCCTGGAATGTGAAGTCAAGTGAGCCTTAGCATCACTACGAACAAAGCTAGTGGATGTGATGGAATTCCAGTTGAGCTATTTCAAATCCTGAAAGATGATGCTGTGAAAGTGCTGCACTCAATATGCCAGAAAATTTGGAAAACTCAGCAGTGGCCCAGGACTGAAAAAGGTCAGTTTTCATTCCAATCCCTAAGAAAGGCAATCCCAAAGAATGCTCAAACTACCGCACAATTGCACTCATCTCACACGCTAGTAAAGAAATGCTCAAAATTCTCCAAGCCAGGCTTCAGCAATATGTGAACCGAGAACTTCCAGATGTTCAAGCTGGTTTTAGAAAAGGCAGAGGAACCAGAGATCAAATTGCCAATATCCACTGGATCATTGAAAAAGCAAGAGAGTTCCAGAAAAACATGTATTTCTGCTTTATTGACTACGCCAAAGTCTTTGACTGTGTGGATCACAATAAACTGTAGAAAATTCTGAAAGAGATGGGAATACCAGACCACCTGACCTGCCTCTTGAGAAACCTGTATGCAGGTCAGGAAGCAACAGTTAGAACTGGACATGGAACAACAGACTGGTTCCAAATAGGAAAAGTACGTCAAGGCTGTATATTGTCACCCTGCTTATTTAACATATATGCAGATTACATCATGAGAAACGCTGGGCTGGAAGAAGCACAAGCTGGAATCAAGATTGCTGGGAGAAATATCAATAACCTCAGATACGCAGATGACACCACCCTTTTGGCAAAGAGTGAAGAGGAACTGAAAAGCCTCTTGATGAAAGTGAGAGAGGAGAGTGAAAAAGTTAGCTGAAAGCTTAACATTCAGAAAACTAAGATCATGGCATCTGGTCCCATCATCTCATGGGAAATAGATGGGGAGACAGTGGAAACAGTGTCAGACTTTATTTTTTTGGGCTCCAAAATCACTGCAGATGGTGACTGCAGCCATGAAATTAAAAGACGCTTACTCCTTGGGAGGAAAGTTATGACCAACCTAGATAGCATATTAAAAAGCAGAGACATTACTTTGTGAACAAAGGTCCATCTGGTCAAGGCTATGGTTTTTCCAGTGGTCATGTATGGATGTGAGAGTTGGACTGTGAAGAAAGCTGAGCTCCGAAAAACTGAGGCTTTTGAACTGTGGTGTTGGAGAAGACTCTTGAGAGTCCCTTGGACTGCAAGGAGATCCAACCAGTCCATCCTAAAGGAGATCAGACCTGGGTGTTCACTGGATGGACTGATGCTGAAGCTGAAACTCCAATACTTTGGCCACCTCATGCGAAGAGTTGACTCATTGGAAAAGACCCTGATGCTGGGAGGGATTGGGGGTGGGAGGAGAAGGGGACGACAGAGGATGAGATGGCTGGATGGCATCACCAACTTGATGGGCATGAGTTTGAGTAAACTCCGGGAGCTGGTGATGGACAGGGAGGCCTGGCGTGCTGCAGTTCATGGGGTTGCAAAGAGTCGGACACAACTGAGCTGAACTGAACTGAACGAGGTACTTAGAGTAGTCAAAACCATAAAGACAAGGCAGCTTGGTGGTTTTCAAGGACTGGGTCCAACGAGCTACTATTTAACGGGTATAGCGTTTCAGTTTTACAAGATGAAAAGTCACAGGCATGGAGAATGGTGACAGATACCAACAAGGTGTTTAATATCTCTGAACTGTGCACTTAAAAATGGTTAAGATGCACTGCAATGATGTAATTAGCCTCCAACTAATAAAAATAAATGGAAAAAAAATGGTTAAGATGGCAACTATATGTATTTTACCATAACACACACAAAAAAATCAATTTTCAACAACTCTAAATGTTTCGAATGTTTAGCCTCCCATTATAAATCGCTTAATATTACATGAAGTATTTTTTAATTGAAAGTTGATTTACAATACTGTGTTAGTTTCAGGTATACAAGCGTAGCAATTCAGTTATATATATGTGTGTGAATATTTATATATGTATACATCTTCAGATTCTCTTCCCTAATAGGCTATTACAAACTGTTGAGTGTAATTCCCTCTGCTGTATAGTCAGTCCTTGCTGGTTACCTATTTTATATACAGTAATAAGCATATGTTAATACCAACCTCCTAATTTGTCACTCTCCCCCCACCCCCCTTTCCCCTTTGGTAGCCTGGGTTTTCTATGCCTGTGGGTCTGTTTCGGAAATAAGTTCATTTTTTTTTTTTTTTTCTTTAGATCTCACATATAAGCGATACCATAAGACATCTTTCTGAAGTACTGGTGAATGACCTGCTTGTTCAGTTCCCGCTGAGAGCTTCACGGTCAACTCACGTCCCTCGCAGAGGCAGCGGGGGTGTGCACGATGGGGCGGAAGGCTGTGGTTGGGCAGTGAACACAGCCGGGGCCTTGCTGCAAGGTCACAGCTGATACATGCTTTTGCTGCAGCTGGAAAACTCAGACAGGGGACTGCAAGCACTTCTCAGGAATCTCGCTGGCGACAAGCTTGTAATAGAGTGTGACGCCATTACCTGAATCGACGTCCCGTCGTGCCTCCAGTGATGCGCTTTTACCTATAAAGCAAAATGCTCCCCACGCGTTGAAAATGTTAGAGACAATGTCACACTAAATCACACCGACTCCCTATACTTGGTTTTGAAATTCAACTTCCCCTTTATTTTGAAATGACTCTTCTAAACCAATCTTCCTTTGAAGAGGTGACCTAGGAAGTGGAGCAACACACACTATACCCCTCCCCTGCGTGCCTGGCTCCCGCGGGAGGGAGTGGGTGACGTGACACAGTTCCAGCTTCTCCTCTCAGCAGCGGAAGCGGGGGGACGGGAGCACGCAGGCGACCCTGAGGAAGGAGACCTGGGTGCAGACCCACTGCCAGATGCTCACCTTCTCTTTTCCATCTCTTCCCTGGAGGCTCAGACAGTAAAGAATCTGCCTGCAATGGGGGAGACGTGCTTCAATCCTTGGGTGGGGAAGGACCCCTGGAGGAGGTCATGGCAACCCACTCCAGTATTCTTGCCTGGAGAATCTGTGTGGACAGAGGAGCCTGGCAGGCTACAGTCCCTGGGGTCACAAAGAATCAGCTCTAGCAGCCCTGCCTGCTTCTCAGGACGCTGGAGGACCAGGGGGTCCTTGCTCACCAAGCGGGAAGTGACCTGGGCCCAGACTGCCTCTCAGACCTCATCTGCACCCTCTCCACTGTGCCCACTGCCTTCGAGCCTCACTGACTGCAGCAGAATTCATTTCTGCCACAGGGCCTTTGCACAAGCTGCCTTTTCTCTGCCTGGAAAGCCCTTCCCTCTGAGCTCTGCGTCTCTGGCCCCTTCTTGTTATTCACACCTCAGCCTAACTGAGTAAGATTAGCTGAAATTACTGAGAGCCCCTCAGAGCACCCCATCTAAGCATGCTGGTGAGCCCCTATTCTGATTCTCCATGAGGCGCTGCTCCCACCTGAGCAGAGCCAGTGACCCCCTCGTTCTGGGTGGAACCCCAGTGCACTGGACTGTACCCGGCACATTCTGCTCACTGAACGTTTGTTCGGGGAATGGCTGAGGAGGCTGAGAATGCTCTGGCGAAAATGAAGTACTGCATGAGACATAAAATGCTTTTACTAATGAATAAAAAACACTCTCTCCTGCTTTCCCTGAATGTCTTCTCCTGGAAATGGTCAGCAACACCGCACCAGTTACTCTATGAGGCTACATCACGTAGATGGAGACCTGCCTTCTCGGGGAGCAAGAAAGGCTGGAACCCAGTTCCTCTGCATCCCGTTTCAAGGGAAGACAATTCATCTGCTGTCTCTACATCCCTCCCTGGGTGACATTGCCCACTCGCTGAGTTTCATTCCGTCCATTTCCCTGGAGAAACCGAACGCTGGTCACAGGAGCTGCGGCTGCTGCTCTGACTAGGTCCAGGCCGGCAGATGGCCTGCAGGCTGGCCTGCCGAGGCGGCGGGGAGGACGAACCTCATCAGACCACACGCTGGGAACGGCCCACAGCTCCTTCTGCCATGAAACCCAGACCTAATAATAGTTTACTGGTTGGTTTGTGAGGCTTAGCTAAGTGTGACACAGGTTAGCTCTATGTCCAAGAGGAGAGGTTCCAGAAGGTGAGTTTACACGAGTCAGTGACTTCCATAAAGGGTCAGGCGGTTGAAGCTATTTGCACTCTTCCCACCAGGAAGGTTGAGCACATGCTCCTGCTGCAGTCAGGTTGGGCCCACGGGTCCCCTCATCACAGACAGTGATGGCTTTCTATGAACTGCCCTGGCCTCACTTTCCTCAGTTCAAACACCACCACCAAGGGCGTTTCAGTGATTCTGGCAGCTGGCCCAGCACAGCCGTGGTATCATCTGCTGATTCTGGCTGGAGCGGCAGAGCTGAGGACAAGTAAGATCTGCTCCGAGCAGATCTCCACGCTCCAGGGACCCGCGGCACCGCCGAGATCGCTGCTGCCCTCGGCACGGGGTGGCATGCAGGGTTTCCAAACATGTGTCCTCTGAGGTCCCATGGCCCCATTTCTCGGTTACTTCCGGTTTTAAATTAGCTGTACAGCCCCAGAAGCGACCAGGGGTGCGATGGTTCTGTATCGGATCAAGTGCTGTGAGCCCTCCTCCAGGTCGATCACGTAGTCCCTGGAAAAGGAGGGGAACTCTGTACCCGCCCAGCTCGGCGGCAACCCCTTGGGCTGTTTCCCACCATGCGCAGCAGAGGCGTCACTCACCTCTGCTCGTCCGTTTCTGGTTCCACCAGGATGTTCTCTTGTCGCTCTTTCACTCTAAGAAACACGTATGCGTCTAGGTCTGGTTTGGGAACTGCCAGGAGAACGGTAATATCATCAGAAAATGCTCAGCTAATCAGAGGGAAGAGGGAAGAGCTGCTGAGATTTAACTGCCTCAATCATGAAGGGACCCTTGATATAAAGCATGGGCGCGGGGCATTGTTGCAAGGATTTGAGGAGAGATCTGGGCTCCTTGCAGAAACAGCCTACTTCCTTCACGGTCTAACTCGGCACCCGCTGGTTGGACAAGTGGAGAGGTCTTAAGATGAGGGGAAGCCTGGGAGGAAGGAGCAACGACCACTGGAGAGAAACACGCCCGAGCATCTCAGGAGGACAGGGTGTGTGAATGGAGCCAGAAAGTAGATCTGTGGAGAGGGCGGGAGGACGGGCTATCAGGGAGATGGGGTCACACGGTGATGGCCTCGGACGTCAGGCTGAGGAACCCAGGCCACTGCCCGAAGCTCCCCTCCATGTCCCTCCGTTGATCACAGGTTAGGCTGGTGCCTCTCCTCGTCCACCAGCCACACCTCGTCAGGAAGAGCCCAGACCCGGCTGCTCCTCCAGCCCTGCACTGCCAGCGGAGGGCCCCACCACCCAGTAGGGTCCAGAGAACCTGCTGGACCACTCGGTGTTCAGGGCGCAGCTCTGGTGTGGGGCTGCCCATGGTTCCCCATCCACTAGAGGGGGCTGAGGATAACTGGCTGCAGAAGTCAGGCGCGGATCCCCTGGGCTGCTCCCGGGTTCTGGGCCTCCAGAGACTCCAACTTCAGCAGAGTCAGCTGAGCCCACTGAGCAGCTGCTGATTCAAGGAAACCCTCAAAGGATGTTAGGTTACGACAACCTTCCCAACCCTGCCAGCAGGGTTTCCATGCTCCAGGGGCCTGAGGGGGACTCGGGGCATCTGGGCTGAGTGAGCCAGGCTCTGATCTCCCCAGGGCAGGCTGCCCACTGCATAGCTCCAGTCCCAGAAGCCTGGCTCTGGTCCTTGGAAGGAACTCGAGACAAGCAACGCTTGAGTGTTAGGAGGCGCTGACCAGCATCAAGTAGAAGGAGCTCCCGGGCAACGGCCTGGACCAGCTCAGGAATCAACGCAGGCCCATCGGTGGTTCCCAGCTGCCTGAACCCAACGGACACGATAGATAGCGCTGGGCAGTGATGAGGTTCCTGGCCCCCACTCCACTTGTGTGCAGACAAAGAGGCTGAACTGGACAGGGACTGGGCCTTCTGTGTCCCTCAGGCAGGTTTTCCAAAACGACCAGCTCAGAGTTCCACAAACCCTGCCTGGGCTGGGCTTGCTCCTGGTATTGTGTCCCCCAAAATTTACATGTTGAAGCCCTGACCCCCAGAACTTCAGGACAGAATAGATTTGGAGACATGGCCTTTAAAGGGCTAAAATGAAGCCATTGGGGGGGGGGGTTGCCTAATCCAACCTGATCGGTGTCCTGATAAGAGGGACGGACACCAGTGTGTGCGTGTGTGTGTGGGGGGGCAGGCAGCCACGTGCAGGCCGAGGGGAGAGGCCTGGGGGGCCCAACGCTGTCAGCACACCTTGACCATCAACTCTGGCCTCTGGATCTGTGTGAGAATCCACGCCTGCTATTCAGGCACCCTGATCGGCGGTACTGAGTATGTCAGCCAGTGCTGAGTCGCCTGCCCCCTGCGGCAGGGCTCACCGCGTGGCCCCCAGACTGGGTCGGGGAAAGACATGGCTGAGCGGGGGGATGTCCAAGGGTGGGCTGTCATAGACTCAGTTTGTGAGCCTGGACTCCAGGCCCCCGGGAGGTCCTGCGTGGAGACAGGGAGCTGGCAAAGATGAGGTGTGGACTGGAGCCCACACGCCGGGGGCCCCGCTGGCTGAGCCGACCTCAGGAGTTACCACCAGGGCCCCTGCCCCTCTGCTCATCAGACTCTTGGGGGGACTGGGTGAGGGGGTGATGGCTGTGCCTCCCCTCTCCCCACCTCAGTTCTGTTCCCCTGTCCACAGCCTGGAAATTGCTCACAAATAAAGATCAGGAGCCCTGAGGGATCCCCTGGAGGCCTCCTAGCCTCTGGCTAACATCACCCCCTCACCCCCAGAGTGGGGAGACAGGCCCTGCACAGCCTGGAATCTGTGAAGGGGAGGCTGCCCCTCCCACCCCCGCCCAGAAAACAGAGACCTTGGCAGCTTCCGTGCCCAAAAGAGCCCAGCATAACGTGGATGCCCAGGAGGTAACGGAATATACCACGAGGCTGAGTCTATATTTGCAGAATTTCCTCCGAACCAGAAGAACACAAAAGTGATGCTCAAATGGCTATGAACGGCTACCCTAGTACCTGCTTTTTACGATTCTTGGTTTTTAACCCAGAACCCTTCCTCTCGGTCTCTTTTCTGCTCATCTGTTTACATATTTATTTTTCTTCATTCTAGGGAAGACAGTGAAGGTGACGATCTGTTCTAAGACACCTGCAGACACATGGGGTGTGAACCACAGCCCCTCGGATGTCTGAAAAGTGAATGTTCTGCTCACCTGTCCTCAAGAGATCCACCTTCTGTAGATTGGGAGGCATGTGCTTTAAGGCTGCGTCCTTCAGATAGGTCTCGGTGTTAGCCAGGAACCTGAAACACACCCCCCCACGCTGTGATGACACACCTGACCGGCCATCAGACCCGCAGCGGGGGCCCTGCCACTGGCCTCAGGGACACAACCGCTCAACCCACACTCCCAAGCCTGCGGGAATAAAGGCGGGTCCGCGCCTGCTCACTCTTTGGCAAAGACAAACTCCTCCGGAGAAAGGATGGAAGGCTCCTCCTCTCGGCGGGTCTTTTCTTTTTCAAGGATGTGAGGGAAAAACTTCTCTATCTGCGGGGACAGGAAACATCTGTCAACGCTTCATGCAATCACTTAGTTTGATCAAGTGGGTCATCGAAGGCCTCGTCTGATTCCAGCAGCACGCAGACGAGTCTCCTGAAACAGGTGGAGGTTAATCTAGAAATGGACTTTAAAAATGGTGAGTCTTGGGCTTCTCTGGTGGTTTAGTGGTAAAGAATCTGCCTGCCAAAACGCAGGAGACATGGGCTCGATCCCTGGTCTAGGAAGATCCCACATGCCGCGGGGCAGCTAAGCCCGGCTGCCACAACTATTGAGCTTGTGTTCTAGAGCATGGGAGCCGCAACTACTGAACCCACGGGCTGCAGGTACTGAAACTCTTGAGTCTTAGAGCCCGTGCTCTGCGAGAATAGAAGCCATTGCAACAAGAAGCCCTAAGACCGCAACTAGAGAGGAGCCCCCAGTCTCCACGACTAGAGAAAAGTCTGCACAGCAGTGAAGAACCAGCAGAGTCAAAAATGCATAAATAACTAAGGCAAGTCTTGGGACTTCCCTGGTGGTCCACTGGTTAAGACTCCTGCTTCCACTGCAAGAGGCACAGGTTCAATCCCTGGGCGGGGAACTAGGATCCTGCATACCACGTGCAGCCAAAAAACAGGAAAAAAAACAAAATGGTGAGTCTTCATGGTTGAGCCTCTTGCTAATCATAAGACCTACCTGCTACACTTCAAGAAGGCAGGTTTCAGAGAATTCAGAGGGAAGACCAGGGCTTGAAAAAGGAAGGCAGTTTAAAAAGGGTGGAAGGGTTTCATGAAGGAAACTCTGGAGACACACGTGGAAATGGAGTTTAAGGGCAGGATGGGGCCGTCAGCCAGCACTTCTGCGTAGTTGTACAGGCGTCCTTCTGCACGACGAAGCAGACGCAGGGGCGGTACAGATACAGAACACACGAGCTGACAGAGGAGTGACGCTCGAATCAAAGAACATAACGGGCAAGAATCAAGTCCACAAATGGGTGAGCCCTGGAGAAATGCTAAGAACTACCAGAAAACAGAACAACAGCAAAGCTAAAAGCTACAGAGAGGTGCTTGGTCAGGAACCAGGAAGGGCGGTCTCTTGTTTGGAGTCAAAGTGGTCAAGATCACCTTGGCCAGGGAAACTTGTGCCCTTCGTGAGCACAAGTGAGGATGAGCTGAAGGCCAAGAGAAGGCAGCATTTATCCTTAAAGGGGTGAGGTTTTCCAGCTCAGAACCACTGTCTTGCAGGATGACTTAAATTCACATGTGTATGGAGTCTGAGTGTGTGATGCACTGTCTCCCATCTTCATGTGGATCGTCGCTGCTGCTGCAGTAGAATGCGCGCCGTTTCAGAATCTCAGAGTCACTGAGTCCAGAAGGGGTGGGAAAGATAAGAGGCAGGCGCGTTTCCTGATTTTCAAATATACAGAGGAGGATGGGGATCGTCAACACAGATCTGGGTCCTTCATGTCGTACGTATTGTTATATAAGAATAAATACTTGAAAAGATGCTTTGTGAACTCAGAGGAAAGTGAGCAGTGATCGTGACGAGGATTCACCCCACCACACGCACAGAAAACTGAGCGGTCAGGTAGTTGAAGGTGGGGAGAGGCAGGCCGTGTGTCTCCATTTGTTCCAAACAGGCGGTATTATCTCTGATGCCTTTGTGGATGAGCTGGAGCAGGGGTGGGGAGACTGGTGACAGTCCAGACTAGAGGCTCATAAACAACTGAACACCGGTTCAGTGACGGATGCTGACCCACGGGGAAGGCTCAGGGGACGATCTAACTGTGGCCCAGTCCTATTAACGAGCCAAGTAAGACCTCTGATCACACACTCATCAAACTCGCTGAGATAACGAATAAACTAGGTGACGAGATGGAGATCCAGAGACCAGGGAACTGCCCAACTTAATAAGGAGAAGCTTAAGAGGTCCGTGTATTGACCCCTACACGGAAGGGTCAAAAATCAAGCCATGCAAATACAGTGACAGGCAAAGGACAGTGACAGAAGAGGTAATAATCATGACAGCTGAAAAATTAGAAAAGAGGCTGGCGCTCATGGTGAGCGCAGAATGAACCCAGGCTGTCACCATCAGAGACGCCATGTGACCTGGGTGTCATTACTCCCAGTCTGATGTCCAGGAGAAGGGAAGTGACCATCCTGCTTTTCACAAAAGTGACCAAAGGACAAGAGGAATTCTATGTCCTGTTACAGGTGGGATGATTTAAGAAGGATACTGACAAATGTTTTAGGGAAGAGACCAGGAGAGTTAAGGGAAATAAATGACTGAAATGTTTAACGGAGAGGACTCTGATGAGCCTTTGTGAGCGGTCCTCAGAATTGGAAGTGACTGCACATGGAAGATGGTACATCAGGGATCATGGTGATCCCTGAACAATAGGGAGGTTGGGGGAACCACACCTCCGACCCCAACTCGTTGAATAACTTTACAGTCGGCTCTCCACATCCAAGGTTCTGCATCTGTGGATGCGTCACATATTTACTGAAAAAAATCCGTGTATCGGTGGACCTGTGCGGTTCACACCTGTGCTGTTCAAGAATCAGCCGTATTAGCTTTGTCATAACTAAGAGGACAAGTGGAACCAAACGAGAAGAAACTTCAAGGAGGTAAGAACCTCCCGGGGTTAAAACAGACATCATACAAAACACTGAGTAAGAATGCTTTGCAGTTCCGTTTTTCTAAGTCAGATACAGCTGAATGTCATTATCATGGTCCACATGACACTGACTGAATGACATGCAAAACAGTTCTTAAAACTTGGTCCCCTCTGGTCAGTAGTCTTTGGTCAGCCGCTGCCAACACCTCCGCCCTCAGCACTGCCCGCGGTCACTCCAGGGGGCGCCATTCTCGCAGCAGACAGACTCAAAGTGTCCCGGGAGGAGGAGGAGGAAGCCGACAGCCACCCACATCTCGCATCTGCTCCTCCAGGACGGTCTGTCGCCCGCCTGACTCTGGCTCCCCTGACGTGGGGCCTGGGCAGCGCTTCCAGGCCCGGGACCCTCCCAGCCCCTTCCCAGGATCCTCAGCCCCCACGACAGGCTCCCCGACCTTCATGAGCCGACAGCGCAGGTAGCTGCTCAGGACGAAGCGGATCCGCTCCATCTCCATCTGATGGATGCTGACCTTCAGGTCCCCCTTCTTGGCCCTCTTGAGATTTTCTTCCTGTTCAGAGAGAAAAAGAAGTTTGTTAAAAAAAAAAAAAAAAGCCAAGAGTCAAAGACTAAGAACATTTTTTGTTCAATGTGCCCACGGCCCTCGAGGACTGTCATCGTTGGCAATGCTGAGGACTCGGAGGCTACATTTAGGTCAGAGGAGGACAAAATACTCACTGTGTAAGAACTCTGATTTTCTTCTCATCTCTTAATTATACAAACAATATGTGACCACAAGCTCAGGACATAAAAGTGCAAGCAGCACTCATTCACTTTTAGAAAATGACCATTTGAATACAACCTGAATTTGGTCAGTCAGAAGGGCCCAGAAGAACTCCAACGCAAGTGCAAACTAGACAATACAGCATTTAAGAAATGTCTAAAGGGTCTTAAAAGCAGTGTGAAAACACCAGTTGAGAAACTGTAGAATACCAGCGTTTTAAAGCTAGCCTGAGGCTGGGAGTGGCTGAAACTGGCTCATCTAAGCCAAGGACCACACACTCAGAGGGTGTTCCTGATGCTGCAGTGGTCAAGAATCTGCCTGCCAACGGAGGAGACGTGGGTTTGACCCTTGAGTTGGGAAGGTCTCCTGGAGAAGGGAATGGCAGCCCAATCCCTTGGACAGAGGAGCCTGGCGGGCTACAGCCCACAGGGTCACAAAAGAGTCAGATACAACTCTGCGGTTAAACAGCAGCACACTTAGAGGCTACAGGGCCAGGCTGGTGAGGAACAGAAGAGAGGGTGCACCCAGGGGCTGGCGGCCTGGGGGGCACGTTGGGAGCGGGGGCCTTGCCCTGTGCTTGTTGGCTCTTCTCACGCACAAACGCAGGAAGGCTGAGAACAGGTTTTCAGAAGCTGACATACCTGGGGTATCACGGGAAGCTGACATCCTGATGTTCCCAGGAGTTCCCAGGCTTTGTAAAGGTAGATAAGGAATTCAACATTAAAAAACAAACAAAAAACCCAAAACTAGGCTGGGCCCAACAAAACAGGTTTGCTGGCAGACTTTCACTGCGCTCAAACACCTCCTAAGGGTCTCTCCTTTGGACCCTGAGGCAGGCACCGCTTACCATGTGCTCCAGCTGCTCCATGACACATTCTACGATTTCAGACTTGTTTTCCAGAAGCTCGGGGGCAAACTTTTCATTCATCCACGCCTAAGAAACAAAGCCAAAAAAGAGCATTACTCAACATGGAGCAAAATAACCCTGTGAGTCAGTACATACCCCTAAAATCACAGTGACCTCAGCAAAGAAAATGACTAGTTGGAAATACTGGGGATGCTTTGAAGACAAGTTATGTTTAATGATGGCTTTTTTAATTTCCTTTAGTGGGAAGGCTGTGCCCTTAGCACACCCACAGCTGAGAGTAACCCACATGGTGTCCACAGGTCTATACCTGATATTGCCCACCAGGGGGCACTAACACCCTTCCATTCTGAGAGATGAGGTTAAGCTATATAAACCTCACATCTCTTCCTGAAGCTTGGTGCACTTTACAAATACTTTGTCATTTATCACTACAATAACTGAGAGGAAACAGATTCAGTTATCCTTATCTCCTTGATGAGAAAATACAGATTATGTTATTTGCTAACCGCATGAGTACAAAGGATCACAGACAAAAATGTATAAACTCATCTGTTAAGCGGTTGTGGAACAAGAGGTTAAATCCCTAATTTATGACTCAGGCCCAGATGCTTGGTACATTTCAGAAATCACCAAGGCTTAGGGAACTGAAATATCCACAGGGGATTGAGGAAACTGTACTTATCTTTAAATCACAAAAAAATTTAGTTTTAGCATAGCTCAGAATTACAGGTCAGGCAAGCTCCACTTATTCATTTTGACACCCTCCAGTCTCCGTTCCTCCAGTTATCACCATCCAGAAACATTATTAAATACTGGGTGTTGCTACTATGGTAAAGTTTTTTCTTTGTTTTTTCAGGTGTTTAGGCTTCTGGAATAGTTTGCAGATATAGAAAACTAACCAGAAAGATGGTATTATTTTCAAGTAGCGTGATGAATGAGAAAAGATCAAACCATCAGTTAAGGCTTATAGCAGGAATTTTTCTTTTAACTGATTTTAATATATATTGAATAGGTAAAAAAATATTTATGAAATACATAACATGAAAAACAGTGATCAACAGCTGACTGCACATAACTTCACTAAAGAATACCATCTTCTTATAAGTCCCCTTGCCTCTCGCCCTCCCTCCTCAGAGGTGATCATTAGCCTGAATTTAGAGTTTAATTTTCTGTCATTTCATTACATCTGTTTGTATCTCTACATGGTGCTTACCAACCTTCCCATGACAGGGCCCTCAAAGAAAAGACAATGTCTGTGTGGTACACTGGGCAAAATGGAGGAGATCTGGGGAGATTTCTCATGTATAGTATGAAATCATGGTAATAAAAACATATAACATTAGGAGAAGTTTACACAATACAAAATGTCCAAATAAATCTTGTCAAAATTTTTAGTGAGAATCTTGTGTTTCAGTTCAGTCTTTTAAAACCCAGTTCTGTGTTTGAAATGACTTACGTTGAGAAAAATTTTAACGACAATCTGTTTGTCACTGTTACTGGGAGGAAATGTGCCCACCTCCACCGCTCAATTTATATGTTAAAGTCCAAACTCCCAGTGCCTCAGAAGGTCTCTAGAGATGAGGTCTGTAAAGAGGTAGTTAGGTTAAGATGGCGTTACTGACTCAACGAACATGGCTCTGAACAAACTCTGGGAGATAAAGGACGACAGACAGGAGCCTGGCGAGCTACCGTCCACGACGCTGAGAAGAATCGGGCGGACTTAAGCTGCTGAAGGACAAAAGAAAGTAAAGTGAAAGTGAAGTCGCTCAGTCGTGTCCGACTCTTTGCAACCCCATGGACTGTTGCCCACCAGGCTCCTCCCTCCATGAGATTCTCCAGGCAAGAGTACTAGAGTGGGGTGCCTTCGCCAGGGCATCTTCCCAACTCAGGGATTGAACCCGGGTCTCCCGCATTCCAGGCAGACGCTTTAACCTTTGAGCCACCAGGGAAAAGAGCAGCTTAAAAACGCGGTAGTTAGGGGGCGCCCTAACCCAATATGGCCGGTGTCCTTGCAGGAAAAGGCGGACTCCAAGCGACCTGAGGTTCAGTCCGTGGTCTCCTTCTCTTCTTCATGTACATTCACTCTCTCTGTGAAATTATCTCCAGGGAGGAAAGAGCACGTGAGGACACGGAGACAGCGACTTCAAGGCCAGGAGCCGGGCCGCTGAGGAGACCAAGCGAGTCAGCCCCTGATCTCCTCTCAGACAGAGGAGCCTCCAGAAGGGAGAAGACATGGCTCTGCTGTTGGAGCCGCCCCGCCTGTGGTACTTGTCAGGCAGCCTTAGCAAACTCATACCACCGTTAAGATGAGAAACTGCGTTTTAGGCAATGTTTGAAATCCTTTCTTTTCCCACAAGCATTCAGGAGTATCCTACACGGGTCCTGGAGCCGTGCTCACCAGTGGCCTGTCAGGCCACCCTGCAAGGCTGTCCAGGCGCTCGGCCGCCCACAGGGCATCCCTGCAGGAGAGCCTCAGGCCCCGGGTGCAATTTCTGCCACCCCCTGCCAAGGCCGTCAGATCCGCCCTCCTTGGGTTGCCCTCCCAGGAGCCCTGAGGGCGCTCAGAAGCCATCGGTCTGGGGCCCCGCTGTCCCCGAGGACGGGGGGCAGCATCTGGGCCCTTGCAGAGCCTCGGCCTGTGCGGCCACCATGCTGGCCAGCTCCGCCCTGGACAACAGCCTGGCAGGGGTCTGAGCTGTACAGTTTCTTCAGCAACCATCGTTTGCTCTTCTACATGATGCTCCTGAGAGCTATCCATGCGGCGGCAGGAGCTTTTATCCATTTTCCTGCTCTTTCTCCCCCTCTTTATGTGTATATGCCTTACTCTAGGTATGCACCTGAGAGGAGAAAAATTGGGCCACAGGATATGTGTGCCTTCTTCAACCTGACTAGAAAATAACAAGTTATTTTTTCAAGTGACGGTACCACGTTACACATCCACTGTGATATGAAAGGGAAAGTGTCATCCCTCAGTCGTGTCTGACCCTTTGCGATTCCATGGACAGTAGCCCGCCATGCTCCTCTGTCCCTGGATTCTCCAGGCAAGAATACTGGAGTGGCTTTACAAGTATGCCAAAGGCTCTACACTCTTGCCAACACTCTCTACTGTTCACCTTTTTCATTTCTGCCCATCTGATGGGTATGAGTGATTGATATCTCATTGGGTTTAAAATTTTCAGGGTGCCTGTGAATCTTCTGATAGTATATGCAAAATTCTGTGTGGGTGTACATGTGCACTGCTCTGGGAGGAAGGGCCAGAGTTTTCACTAGATTTTTTTTTTTTTCATTTATTTTTATTAGTTGGAGGCTAATTACTTTACAATATTGTAGTGGGTTTTGTCATATATTGACATGAATCAGCCATGGATTTACATGTATTCCCCATCCCGATCACCCCTCCCTCACTAGATTCTTAAAAAGGTTTGTGATAGAATTTACTTTTTGAAGGATTTTTGTTTGTTTAATACATCTGAAAAGAATGCATACGCAAAGAATTGAGATATGAGAAAGCATTGGTTCAACACTAATGAGATCTGTAAGAATTAGGATGTGGGGAAGGTTATGTAACGTTTCTAAAACTTGTAAATTGCAACCCAAATAAGCTGATCAAATCCCTATTAACACTTAGAGTCTTCATAAGACCTTCCCCAGGATTTTTATTAAACTAGAAAGCCTCACCTGGTTGCTCCAGGGTTTCTCATAAACAAAACAGAAATAAGGGGCTTTCCCTGACTGGTTAAAATTACCTTCCTTGGGTTTCATCACTCACAATGCCATGTATGGTAGGGGAGAATGAATCCTAAAGTAACAGACACAGGAGAGTTCTGGAAAGGGGCAATTGCAGGGAGAGGAATAAGGCAGCAGGTGGGCTGAATCAGAGAGACCTGGTTCACATCCTGGCTCTGATGCTATCGTGGACCCTGGCAAGTTTCTCTACACCTCTCATCGCGAAGCTTCAGTTTCCTCATCTCTAAAACGGAAATAACACAGTACCTCCCTCAGGGGATTGTGAGGGGCCTCACTGCTCACTGCTGACATTCAGTGAGCCCTTCACACACCTCAGTCCACACTCAGTACTTCACACACGTTACATCATTCAGTCCTCACAATAATTCCATGAGGTAGCCGCTACCATTCCCTCCACGTTATAGTCAAGGGCATGCTAGAGACAAACTATACAACCTGCCTATGTTTGTAAAACAGACCAGGGGCGTGGAGGGATCTAAACCCAGGTAGTCTGAACTCTTTCACTACCAAGGCTTCATGAGACCAGAAATATAAAGAATCCTGACACACAAGAAATACTCAATAAACCACAGCGACTCTGACTAAAAGGAGAAACATCCCAGGGGTGATCTGAGGCAAGCACTATAAATGTACAGAATGGGTGGCAAAAGAAACTGGAGGAAAAGGAGGGATGAGACCAGTTTTCTCCTAAAGGTGTTTCAGCATTTTCTAGAACTTTTATGTCTCTATCAAGCGCTTCTGTAGTCCCCACAAATACCAAGTAGATCCTTGCTTTGTGAACTGTTCTTGTAACTGTCCCCAAAGCCGACCTTTACTGGACCCACCTGAGGATTCTGTGCTCGACATTATGAACTTTCTATCTGGCTGTGCCTATACTTCCTACTTCTGTGGAGATGGTAAGATGCAGTCTCTTCTAAGAAGCCTTGAATTCCATCCCCTCATTTCTTGAATCCTGACATTCGAAGTGCTGGACTAGCTAAAGAGGCTGCGCTTGCAGCAGGGGGATTCCGTGTGGGCTGCTTACCTGCTCCAGCCGGTCAATGAGCTCGGCAGGGGTCAGGACCACCTCCTCACTGTCCCCATCAGAGTCCTGTCCCAAGATGTCTGCTTCCTCTGCCATCTTCTCTGAAACCAGGAACCTGATAAATAAAAGAACCCATACAATGCTGTGTGTTTGTATTTATTTGCACGAACACGCAACTACAATACCTGGGAGAGAAAGGTTTACGCGGGTTGTAGAGGCGAGTTTGCAGTGGCTAGAATGTTCATTGGCTTTGGTTTTGTAATGTGTTGCCTCTTCCTTCAAATCTTAGGTCAGGGATCAATTTCTCACAGCGGTCACTCCTTACAAGGGTTTCCAGGTGCTCGCTGAATGGAGCACCAATCACATTTGTTTGCCTTCCAGGAGGAGATCCTTTCCTCAGCGGCTGCGCTGGCTTCGGCTCTAATATTAATCATGGTACCTCTCAGGGCTGGGGACACAATGACCTGGCCGGTCAGTGACCCAGAGGCTTAGGAAGATGGGTGATGGAGATGAGGTCGCATCCCTGGAGCCTCCGTCAATTCAGTCAGTTCAGTCGCTCAGTCGTGTCCGACTCTTTGTGATGCCATGGACTGCAGCATGCCAGGCCTCCCTATCCATCACCAACTCCCGGAGTTTACTCAAACTCATGTCCATTGAGTTGGTGATGCCATCCAACCATCTTATCCTCTGTCGTCCCCTTCTTCTCCCGCCTTCAATCTTTCCCAGCATCAGGGTCTTTTCAAATGAATGAGTCAGCTCTTCGCATCAGGTGGCCAAAGTATTGGAGTTTCAGCTTCAACATCAGTCCTTCCAATGAACACTTAGGACTGATTTTCTTTAGGATGGACTGGTTGGATCTCCTTGCAGTTCAAGGGACTCTCAAGAGTTTTCTCCAACACCACACTTCAAAAACATCAATTCTTCGGCGCTCAGCTTTCTTGGAGCCTCAGGGATTCCGAGAGCACATTCCTCCCCGCTCCCCTCCTAGCGTCGCGGGCACAGGGTCACCGCCTCCCCGCGCGCACACACACACACACACACATACACACGGATACGCGGCGAGCGCGCTTCCAGTGGGGCCCACGCGGACGCTCACCTTACACACACACACACACACACACACACACACACACACACGCACGGCGAGCGCGCTTCCAGTGGCCCCACGCGGACGCTCACCCGGGTCGGGGCTGGCTGACAGGCCCTCCGAATCGGCGGGCAGCGACGGCCGGACGCTCGCGGGAAGCAGCCCGAGGAGCAACCGGCCGCGGAACGCTTGGGGCGAGACCGCTTCCCCAACAGAGCAGAGCGTTCACTTCGCAGCTCCCGCGCTCCTCTCTGACACTTCCTGTCCAGGTGTAACGTCACCGCGCACTAGCGACGCTGGCCAGTCACGGCCAAGAGGCCCCGCCACCCTGGGGGCGGGGCCTGCGTGCCCGCGGACCGCGCTCCCCGCCCCTTCCCGAATGAAGGCGGCGGGGGGCGGGTCCGGCTGAGCCCCGCCCGCCTCTGCCAGGGTCCGGCGTGCGGCCCCGGCTCGCACAGCCCAGGGGCCGCCAGCAGGGGGCGCCCGACCCCGGCGGCTGAGGACTCGGGCGGGCGGCGTGAGCCTTCGCGCCACCCGGCACCGGCGCCCGCGTGTGCTCTGGCCGAGCCCGGGCGGCAGGGACGTGCGCTGTGTTAGTTAGATCAGGCCGCTTCCACCTCTAGGGTCGTCTTCTCCAACCTTCTGGCTCCCGCGTCTCTGCCGGGGCTGCGGCTATGGCCACTACCCCCGGCTCTGAAAGCCTTTAGGCGAGTGGTTCTTAAAACGCCGTTCAAGACCACCAGCAGCAAATCGGGCTGGGGCCACTGAGAAATGCAAGTTCTCAGGGCCAACCTAGACCTGTGAAATCAGAAACGGGTGTGTGGGTGGGGGCAGTTCAACAGATCTGGCTCATCAGATGATTCTGATGCAGGTGAACTTGGAGAGCCATTGCTTTAGACAATCCCAGCTGCTCTCTAGGTTGACATTTGCAGTTTATGCCTTCTGCCTTGACTGTAGGGCAAAAGCCCGCACACACATGCGCGCACACACACACACCTACACAGATACGTAAGACCGATTCCAAGGGAAGGGCCCTTTGAGCTGTGTCTTACAGAATGAGTTTGGTTAATGACATATGATGACCTTTCCCAGGTCCGTTTCAGCTCTGTGTTTCCTGGTTGGTGATTCAGTGGTTTTCAGTTGTAGCAGGTTGTGTTTTTCCAAGAGAGCTGCTCTGATATCCATCTCATCCTGAACTCTTTTTACAGCAGCATGACCGCTGACACCTCTCCATCCAGAGATGGAGTTTGTAATCTCTCCTTCTTAAAAAAAAAAAACAAAAAACTATCTTGTTGAAGTATAGTTGATTTACAATGTATTACTTTCTGCTGTACAACAAAGTGATTCAGTTATGCCTATGTATACATTCTTTCTCATATTCTTTTCTATTGTGGTTTATCACAGGATATTAAATAGAGTTCCCTGTGCTATACAGTAGGACCTTGTTGTCTATCCATCCTATGTATAACAGTTTGCATCTGCTAACCCCAAAGTCCCACTCCATGACTCCCACACCCTTCCTTTCCCTTGGCAACCACAAATCTGTTCTTTATGTGTGTGAGTCTGTATCTGTTTTGGAGATAAATGCATTTGTGTCTCATTTTAGACTCCACATGTAAGTGATATCACATGGTGTTTGTTTTTCTGTGTCTGACTTGCTTAGTATGATAATCTCTAGGTTCATTCATGTTGTTGCAAATGGCATTATTTCATTCTTTTTTATGGCTGAGTAGTATTCCACTGTATCTATGTACCACATCTTCTTTATCCAGTCGTCTGTCAATGGATGTTTAGGTTGTTCCTTGTCTTGGCTCTTGTAAATAGTGCTTTGATGAACATAAGGGTATGTGATATCTTTTTCAATATCATTTTGTCCAGATATACGCCCAGGAGTGGGTGTGATCTCTCTTCTTCAGTCTGGGAAGACCTTTGTAACTGCTGGACCAAGAGAACATGGCAGAAGTGATGCTGCCTGGCTTCTGGAGGTGAGCATGAACGTAGGTGCAGCTTCTAGCAGCTTTCTTGAGCTGTGTGCCCTGGGAAGGGACAGGGATGGGTAGGATGTCTGGCTTTCCTGCTGCTTTCATGGAAGGTCCACGTACAGAGATCACATAGCTATGGAGAGCCGTGTCTGAGAAGCCCCAGCTGTTTGGTCCTCCAGAACTCCAAATGGGGTGAGCCTTCAGACCGTTGTTCTAGCTCTAGACTTTGAGTGACCCCAGCTGACCCCAAGAGAGCAGGGACAAGACATTCCTGCAGGACTCTGCTCAGATTGCAGGCTTGTGAGCAAAATATGGATGTTTCAAGGCTCTAAGTTTTGGGGGTTTTTTCTTTATTTTTTTCTTTCTGGTTTCATTCCTGCATGCGGGCTTTCTCTCATTGCGATGTGCAGGCTTCTCACTGCAGTGACTTCTCCTCTTGCAGAGAATGGGCTCTATGTACACGGACTCAGTGGTTATGGCTACTGGGCTCTGGAGCACAGGCTCAGTAGTTGTGTCCCATGGGCTTAGCTGCCCAAGGCATATAGGATCTTCCCAGACCAGGGATCGAACCTGCCATGTCCCCTGCATTGGCAGGCGAACTCATTCATTGTGCCTCCAAGGAAGTCCCCTTGGGTGGTTTTTAATCAGCCTCGGATGACTGGAACAATAGTCTCTGAGCACAATCCCATTCTTCCATAATTCTCATTCCTATATAGCTTTTTAATAGTAATTTTTAAAAAATTGGTCAAGTAGTGCAGATTTCAGAATCTCAGCTCCCCTACTAGGGATCGAACCCTCAACCTCTGCAGTGGAAGAGTGCAGTTCTAACTAGTGGACCACCAGGGAATTCCCTTCAATTCCTTAACTATTATAGATTGGAGTCCAAGTGCGCCGATAACTTCTCCATGCAAGTACCAATTGCTCAGTTTACGCACTCAGAGACTTCTCTTCTCTGGTGCCAGCTGCCTCCCCAGTCCCACAGCACCTCCTCTGGGGAGCTGGCATCTAGCTCCTGCTTCCTTTTCTTAGAGCCATGACCTGGGACACATCACTTCTTTGGGCTTCGGTCAGTTGCACTGCCTAAGTGAGAACAAGAAGGCAGAGGGAAAGATACAAAATCGGGGCCCCCTTTTGCGTCTGTGATTTTGATTCCAACTAATATTCATCAGATAAAATGACTTTAGAGTAAAATGTGTTCCCAGAGAAAGATTTCTTCTACTGATGTGTAAAGAAAGAGCATTTAAGGAGCCATCCAAAGAGAATCTAAAGGAGTGGCACAAACTTATGTTGGGACGGTTGGCCTGTAAAGTTCAGGAAGGTGGGAGAAAAAGACACATCTTAAGTTACATTATGTAGAAGGAAGAGAAAAGTCAGGAACATCTGGTGCATGTATCCCCAGTGTCAAGGAGTTTTAAAAAATAATTACATAGCTGTGCAGATGGAACGTCTTTCAGGAAAATGATCATGTAAAAAAGGGAATTGCATAAGTTACAATAGCAGGAGGGTGAAGTTCGGTGGTGATACATGGAATTGTAGGACAGAATTTATAGGCAAGTTCTGATGATTCAAAAGGCAAGATGAGGGACTTCCCTGGTGGTCTAGTGGTTAAGAATCTGCCTTCCAACACAAGGGATGCTAGTTGGACACCTGGTCTGAGAACTAAGATCCCACGTGTGGGGTTTGGCGTTGCAACTAAGGCTGCGTGTGGCATCTGCTGAGCCTACGCTCTAGAACCCATGCAGTACAACTGAAGAGGAGCTCTTGATCCTCAACAAAAGATCTTGTGTGCTCTAACTGGTCCTGATGCAGCCAAAAATAAAGAAAGGAAGGAAGGAAGAAAAAGATGAAGATGACCATGCCGACATGAATTCAGACTGGTAAAGCATGAAGCTACCAACATAGCAAAAGCAGAAAGAAGTCACTGCCCAAAGGTGAAAAGGATATAGAAAATACGACCCTAGACAGTTGAAGAAAGTCAATGCAATTTCTAGATACTGCTCAATGAAGGAATTCATTGCAGTTAAAAT